TGTCCCTGACTAACAAGAGATCAAAGCTTGTTGGTTTGTTATACAAGTTTCCAATTCCCAGTTTACTCTAGCCGTCGATCGATAACGTCATACACCGTCACAGCGGTTTACTGGTGAGAAGCGGGAACAAGCATCCGCGTTGCTGATCATTGTAAAGAGCGGTACAAAAAGTTGGGAATAGTCGATTTGCAATAGTGACAACCCGAGTGTTTATCATTGTAAGGATTAAATACACGTACTAGAAAGTAGTCAATACACAGCTGTGCTATCGTCGTTTTATCAGCCGCCCGCCCGAGGGAACATTCGACACGCCGCACAACTACCCAGTGTTACTATAATGATGTCCCATTGCCCGAGATTATTAATACATCCGATCCATATTAAACTGAAGAATACTTCAGATGGTGTTGTTATGTATTGTTTGTCATGAACTTAGTTCACCTGAATTACAGATGCGAGAGGTGAAAGGAGGACAAATACGCGGAACTTAAGTAAAGACGTTCACCCGGAAGAAGGCAAGTCTTGAGTGGGTGTTACTTCCAAATGTTGATATTCGGGTCGCCGGGAATAAGCGCACTATTGCCGACGCGGAATTAATCAATATTCACTCACCTGTTTTTGGTGATGTTAAAACATGTTGCACTCGTCAGCTGTAACTTCTTAATTCAGATTGAATTAAATGCACCCCAGAAGATCCGGGTTAGAAAAGGTCTTCAGTAGCCCATGCATGTCGTAAGGGGCGACTAACGGGATCGGGTGGTCAGACTCGCTGACGTGGCTAATGCATGTCATTGTATCCCTATTGTGTGGATCAATGCTTGTGGTATCAATCACTGGATTGTCTGGTCCAGTCTCGATTTTTTACAGACCCCTGTCAAATGGCTGGGATAATGCTGAGTGCGGCCTCAAACAACAAACAAACAAACAAAAATAGATGTAAGTCGGTGGGTCGAAAAAATAACAATTAAATAATTCAAATTTAATATTTAAAAAGGTATTTCTCTCGCGATTCGCCACAATTCGTTGTGTTTTCTTAAAATCCATTTTTAATATGTTTGAATTATAGTATTTTAGATAATTCATTGTTATTGATCCCGACGGTAAACAGGTATTTTCTTTTAACATTTTACTTTTTTCTTATCAACAAAATAAAAAACCCACTGCTTTTCATTATTTAAATTTGTTTTCACATTCAAATGTATTGGAGTGGGCGGATTTGTAGACCAGGTTTGAAACAACCAAGCCTTGTGAGAATGGTATCACTCGTGTCATGGTAACTGGAGTGAGCGAGTCAATATTGTTTTACACCGCTTTGTAGCAATATTCCAGCAATATCACGGCGGGAACACCAGAGATGGGCTTCACACATTGTACCCATGTCAGGAATCGAACCGGGTCTTCGGCGTGACGAGCAAACGCTTTAACCACTAGGCTACCCCATGCATCGCCCCCATGGTAACTGGGAGTGGTGCACCCGACACAGTGTCATCTTTACCAGCTGATGCAGCTAGCGGCCCTGATGGTGTTAACCATACAGTTTTGAAACAGATTTGTACATCAACTGCAGACCACAGTTATACACTCAATCAATCTCTGTGTACTTTTACTTTACCGTCAAGACCCGTGAAGATCCGGGGCACAATAGGTCTTCAACAACCCATGCTTGCCGTAAAATGTGACTATGCTTGTCGTAAGAGGCAACTAACGGGATCGGGTGGTCAAGCTCGCTGACTTGGTTGATGCATGTCATCGTATCCCAATTGCGTGGATCGATGCTCACGATGATCACTGGATTGTCTGGAATATTGCTGAGTGCGGCGTTAAACAACAAACAAACAAACAAACAAACTTTACTACCAAAAGGAGTGAGTAAGGGGTTTACGCAGCTTTTTGCAATATTCCAGCAATATCACAAGGCTACTCCACCGCCCCCATCAAAGAGGAAAGACGAACATGTTTTATCCCTGTTGAACATGTCAAGCAATGGAAACAAATTCTTTACCAAGTTATTATCAGTGAATTAATTTATAAGTATTTCGTAAGATATTCGACATAATTACTTTAATAAATTCACATTAGTTTTATGTTAATATTCATAAGCTTGACATGTATGGCGTAAGGGTAATTTTCTATCTTGGATAAAACATTGTCTGTCTGAAAGCAAACTTGTAGAACAGTAAATGGAAGCTACTCTCCTCGACACACTGTTACCGTTGCATGCATTACCCCCGGGGTATGTTAATGACATAGTTTTTGCTCTTTAGTTAATTGGTTTTGCTGCACCAGGTTTAGTTTGACACTCATAATGGATTCCTTTTTAAAGTTGTACATAATTACATTCTTTAACAAATTCATGCCTTCGTCTACAATTATCTTTTTTGCAAATAATATTGTTGACTGCATGTATTGATCTATTGATCATTTTGTACTTTAAAAAAGGGACGCACCAAGGATATTTTTTTTCAGTCCTATTGTTTATCAATAAAATATGTTTGAAAATATATAAACTTAAATTTAACAGTGTCCTTCCTCTTGGTCGTGTAGTTTCAGCAGAGACTATAAAATGGATCTATTTTGTGGCAATTCATGCTTGCCGTAAAAAGCGACCATGCTTGTCGCAAAAGGCGACTAACGGATCGGGTGGTCAGGCTCGCTGACTTGGTTGATGCATGTCATCGTATCCCAATTGCGTGGATCGATGCTCATGATGTCAATCACTGGAGTGTCTTGTCCAGACTTGATTATTTACAGACCGCTATCATATAGCTGGAATATTGCTGAGTGCAGTGTTAAATAACAAACAAACAAACAAACAAACAAACAAACACAAGAAATACATTCTCTCAGTCAACTGTTATGGTGTTTCTGTTTAAAATGTATCGCCACACACACAATAAATAGTGTTAAATGCAACTCGGCATTTTGCAACCAAAAATTGTAAATAGCGTTAGTTTAAAATAACCAACGACATTGACTGGGCTCCCGTCTACCTAAACTAAAAGTGCTAAGTATGCAGCGTACCAACAGCGGAGCCAGTTTACTACCCATAAATATAGAGAAAGGAGTACTTGACTATAAATGTCAGCTTCAGCGTCGATGCAGTTAGTGAGTGAGTTGGGTTTAACGCCGCTTTTAACAGTATTCCAGTTATGTCATGGCGTGTCAGCTTAATGTGGGAGGAAAGCCCGAAGTGATGCAGGTCTCAGACGTTTACCACTTCGGTGAAACCCACGAGCACGGGTAGGGTGCTGACAAACCTAGAAACATAATCGGGGCGAACAGGCAGCGGTGATGCAGCTGTCAAAGCAACTGTTTCAGTCTATTGGGTTCTTGGGACATGAAACCTCATATTGAGAATCAGCATGGTTCCGAGAGGCCCTGAACTATATATGACCCTGTCAACGAAGAGACGTAACTCTTCACAGTTTGTTGCGGTGCCTTTGATCATAGTGAGTGAGTTGGGTTTAACGCTGCTTTTAAGAGTATTCCAGTTATATCGCGGCATGTCAGCTTAATGTGGGAGGAAAGCCCGAAGTGATGCAGGTCTCAGACGTTTACCACTTCGGTGAAACCCACAAGCACAGGTATGGTGCTGACAAACCTAGAAACATAGTCCCGCGAACCGGGATTTGAACCCGCAATCATAGGTTTCTGGCGTGCCCAAGAGACGCAACTTTGCACAGCGAATCGCGGCGCCGTTAACGCCTGGGCCACCCGTGCCCCCGCACCGAACATTGGAGATATTCACATTGTATACATCACAAAGTGGTCAGAGCATGAGGATGGTTTTACGCTGCTTTTAGCAACATCACATTGGGGGAATGCAAGAAAAAGCCTTCACACATTCTACCCATGTGGGAATCAAACCGGCCTTTGGTGTAACGAGAGAACACTCTAACCACCAGGCAACCGCCTCGGTAAGAACAAAACACCTAAATATTCTGCCTACATTTAAGACCTGGGCAGTCCACAATGCCCAACGCTACGTCAGTTCGTAAGCCTATGTTAACATGGTTAAGGTATTGGATCACATTACGATCACATTAGTGCTACGATCACATCACATTAGTGCTACGATCACATCACAGCTACGATCACATTAGTGCTACGACCACATTTGTGCTACGATCACATCACATTAGTGCTACGATCACATCACATTAGTGCTACGATCACATCACAGCTACGATCACATTAGTGCTACGACCACATTTGTGCTACGATCACATCACATTAGTGCTACGATCACATCACATTAGTGAGTGAGTGAGTGAGTGAGGTTTTACGCCGCTTTTAGCAATATTCCAGCAATATCACGGCGGGGGACACCAGAAATGGGCTTCACACATTGTACCCATGTCGGGAATCGAACCCGGGTCTTCGGCGTGACGAGCTAACGCTTTAACCACTAGGCTACCCGACCGCCCACATCACATTAGTGCTACGATCACATCACTTTAGTGCTACGAACACATCACATTAGTGCTACGACCACATTTGTGCTATGATCACATCACTTTAGTACTACGATCACATCACATTAGTGCTATGATCACATCACATTTGTGCTACGATCACATTAGTGCTACGACCACATATGTGCTACGATCACATCACATACGATCACATCACATTAGTGCTACGATCACATCACATTAGTGCTACGGTCACATCACATTAGTGCTACGATCACATCACATTAGTGCTACGATCACATCACATTAGTGCTACGATCACATCACATTAGTGCTACGGTTACATCACATTTGTGCTACGATCACATTAGTGCTATGATTGCTGTGTGGAACGGTGCCCTGTGGTATACAAGGTACACGACAACTCGCTGCAAAGAGTTGAGTCCCTTAGTGCGGCCAGAAATCCCAGGTTCGCCATGATGATGAAGCTTGTGTCACCTGGGATAAGCGGATCTTGGAACGGCAAAGGGAAGAAATGCACCACTTAATTTTTATTTTTGTATTTGAAATACTTCCATGTGGGTATGCGAGAAACATTTCTTTATTTACAGAAAATATAGACAGACTTCTAGGTTGTGAATGTCATGCTCATTTTATAAAACTCGTATAATAAAGTTTTGACTTCCTGTATAAATTGAGTGAAGTAGTGAATTTCTTTTTTGTAAACTCAGTCTGATACACCCACCACTTAAGTCATAAAAATGCACATCGACAAACATAACATTAGTTACAAAGTAACATTTCCTTTACACAAAACTGTACCCAGAAGCAAACTGTCAACATGACATCAGTAATGACAGACTGTGACTTCATCATCTATTGTGACGTCAGAACACCACCATCATCTATTGTGACGTCAGAACACTGTCATCATCTATTGTGACGTCAGAACACCACCATCATCTATTGTGACGTCAGAACACCACCATCATCTATTGTGACGTCAGAACACTGTCATCATCTATTGTGACGTCAGAACACCACCATCATCTATTGTGACGTCAGAACACCACCATCATCTATTGTGACGTCAGAACACCGCCATCATCTATTGTGACGTCAGAACACCACCATCATCTATTGTGACGTCAGAACACCACCAACATCTATTGTGACGTCAGAACACTGTCATCATCTATTGTGACGTCAGAACACCACCATCATCTATTGTGACGTCAGAACACCACCATCATCTATTGTGACGTCAGAACACCATCATCATCTATTGTGACGTCAGAACACCGCCATCATCTATTGTGACGTCAGAACACCACCATCATCTATTGTGACGTCAGAACACCACCATCATCGTGACGTCAGAACACCACCATCATCTATTGTGACGTCAGAACACCACCATCACCGTGACGTCAGAACACCAACATCATCTATTGTGACGTCAGAACACCACCATCATCTATTGTGATGTCAGAACCCCAACATCATCTATTGTGAACATTTCATAACCAATGATGCCTCTATTACGTCATTAATGCTGTCGGATGTGTAAATTAATTATCACATGTTTTATATTGACGATTGTTAAGCCAATTCTTAATTATCACACACATTTATATTGATGTTTCGTGAGTCCTTCTCCTGAACCCTGTGGATACCAAGGATGTAGTCACTCGTCTCCTCAGAGGAAGGATGATGTGGAGCCCCCATGGGAGAATCGAGTGTTCAGCTGCTGAGATTTTTTTATGATTGAATTTCTCTGTGCATTATCGAATCTGTTGACCTGGAGGTCATTGTCCCGGTCAAAAGGTCGTCTCTCCTTTGGCTTGTCCTTATTCTTGTCTTTCTTCTGTAAACACAAACACATGGATTATCTCCCTTTGTATGCCTCACCATTTGAAATGAAATTACTCTTAAGTCAGTCTCAAGTATGGAAGATTTGGGTTTTTCTATTTTCTATTAATACATACAAGCAGAAAGGAACCAAGAGAATCTCTTCAAAGGATTGTGGGTTTGTTTGGGAATTTTTATATTTTTGTTCCAGGATCTGTTTGAAAGACTAAATAATCTAGGGACGGGTGTTCTAGGTCGGGGGTGAGGGTGGGGTTGTTCTAGGATGTGGGTTGGGTGTTCTAGGATGAGGGTGGGGTGTTCTAGGGTGAGGGTGGGGTGTTCTAGGATGAGGGTGGGGTGTTCTAGGGTGAGGGTGGGGTGTTCTAGGATGTGGGTGGGGTGTTCTAGGATGAGGGTGTGGTGTTCTAGGATGAGGGTGGGGTGTTCTAGGGTGAGGGTGGGGTGTTCTAGGGTGAGGGTGAGGTGTTCTAGGGTGAGGGTGGGGTGTTCTAGGATGTGGGTGGGGTGTTCTAGGATGAGGGTTGGGGTGTTCTAGGATAAGGGTTGGGGTGTTCTAGGATAAGGGTGGGGTGTTCTAGGGTGAGGGTGGGGTGTTCTAGGGTGAGGGTGGGGATGTTCTAGGGTAAGGGTGGGGTGTTCTAGGATGAGGGTGAGGTGTTCTAGGGTGAGGGTTCGGGTGTTCTAGGGTAAGGGTGGGGTGTTCTAGGGTGAGGGTGAGGTGTTCTAGGATGAGGGTGGGGATGTTCTAGGGTGAGTGTTCGGGTGTTCAAGGGTGAGGGTTGGGGTGTTCTAGGGTAAGGGTGGGGTGTTCTAGGGTGAGGGTGGGGATGTTCTAGGGTGAGGGTGAGGGTGTTCTAGGGTGAGGGTGGGGTGTTCTAGGGTGAGGGTTCGGGTGTTCTAGGGTGAGGGTGAGGTGTTCTAGGGTAAGGGTGGGGTGTTTTAGGGTGAGGGTCGGGTGTGCTTGGGTGGGGGGTTCTTGGGTAAGGCTGGGGGGTTCTCGGGTGAGCGTGGGGTGTTCTAGGGTGGGAGTGGGGTGTTCTAGGGTGGGGGTTGGGGTGTTCTAGGGTGAGGATGGAGGTGTTCTAGGGTGAGCGTGGGGTGTTCTAGGGTGGGAGTGGGGTGTTCTAAGGTGAAGGTGGGGGTCCTTGGATAAGGGAGTGCAAGGATAGGCAAGGGAGGGTGATCGTTTGCAGCAGTTAGATAAGGCAGTTTTCTATAACAAAAAACAATTCTTGACATGAGCATTATGAGAAGGGAGGTAACTCTTGTCATGCAAAGAAACAAAATGTGACACATTGCTTCATTCCATTTTAACAAATACCTAAAAGTACAAATATGATATGCAATTCTACCTTTATGTTTTGAAAATAGATAGAGTAAACTATGATTATAACGAACTCAAAGGGACCACTAATTATAGTTTGTTACAACCGTAGTTCGTTGTAAGCATAGATACAGCAAATGGGGAGGACCAAAACAGTTTGTTATATCCGTCAGTTCATTATAAGTGTGTTTTGTTATGAACATAGTTCACTGTATCTGTAAAGAAAGTGATGCCTTCAGAGGGGACAAAGCACTACACAAAACGTGATTGGTGGATTTCAAATCTTGAAATGAAACAAAAAAACATCATTTAGAAAAGATCTGAAAAGCTATGGACACTCATGTTAATGGGTCTTATTTTTACCTTTTTCTTTTTCAAGTCTTTCTGGTGAATCTCTAGCAGTGACTCCTGCCTTTTGGACTTCTGGAAGAAAAATTAGAGTATATAAACACACTTGTTTCCTGAACATCATACACTTTTGTAACACACATGATGTAGTTTCCATAGTACCTGTATGAAACTGTACCCGACCTGTCTACCCTAGACCCTGTAACCTGACCTACCTGTCTACCCTAGACCCTGTTACCTGACCTACCTGTCTACCCTAGGCCCTGTTACCTGACCTACCTGTCTACCCTAGACCCTGTTACCTGACCTACCTGTCTACCCTAGACCCTGTTACCTGACCTACCTGTATACCCTAGACCCTGTCACCTGACCTACCTGTATACCCTAGACCCTGTTACCTGACCTACCTGTCTACCCTAGACCCTTTTTACCTGACCTACCTGTATACCCTAGACCCTGTTACCTGACCTACCTGTTTACCCTAGACCCTGTTACCTGACCTTCCTGTCTACCCTAGACCCTGTCACCTGACCTACCTGTCTACCCTAGACCCTGTCACCTGACCTACCTGTCTACCCTAGACCCTGTTACCTGACCTACCTGTCTACCCTAGACCCTGTCACCTGACCTACCTGTCTACCCTAGACCCTGTTACCTGACCTACCTGTCTACCCTAGACCCTTTTTACCTGACCTACCTGTATACCCTAGACCCTGTTACCTGACCTACCTGTATACCCTGAACCCTGTTACCTGACCTACCTGTATACCCTAGACCCTGTTACCTGACCTACCTGTCTACCCTGAACCCTGTCACCTGACCTACCTGTCTACCCTAGACCCTGTTACCTGACCTACCTGTCTACCCTAGACCCTGTTACCTGACCTACCTGTCTACCCTGAACCCTGTTACCTGACCTACCTGTATACCCTAGACCCTGTTACCTGACCTACCTGTCTACCCTGAACCCTGTTACCTGACCTACCTGTCTACCCTGAACCCTGTAACCTGACCTACCTGTCTACCCTAGACCCTGTAACCTGACCTACCTGTATACCCTAGACCCTGTTACCTGATCTACCTGTCTACCCTAGACCCTGTTACCTGACCTACCTGTATACCCTGAACCCTGTTACCTGACCTACCTGTCTACCCTAGACCCTGTTACCTGACCTAATTGCCTACCCTGAACCCTGTTACCTGACCTACCTGTATACCCTAGACTCTGTTACCTGACCTACCTGTATACCCTAGACCCTGTTACCTGACTTACCTGTATACCCTGAACCCTGTTACCTGACCTACCTGTATACCCTAGACTCTGTTACCTGACCTACCTGTATACCCTAGACCCTGTTACCTGACTTACCTGTATACCCTAGACCCTTTTTACCTGACCTACATGAATACCCTAGACCCTGTTACCTGACCTACCTGTATACCCTGAACCCTGTTACCTGACTTACCTGTATACCCTAGACCCTTTTTACCTGACCTACATGAATACCCTAGACTCTGTTACCTGACCTACCTGTATACCCTGAACCCTGTTACCTGACTTACCTGTATACCCTAGACCCTTTTTACCTGACCTACATGAATACCCTAGACCCTGTTACCTGACTTACCTGTATACCCTAGACCCTGTTACCTGACTTACCTGTATACCCTAGACTCTGTTACCTGACCTACCTGTATACCCTAGACCCTGCTACCTGACTTACCTGTATACCCTAGACCCTTTTTACCTGACCTACATGAATACCCTAGACCCTGTTACCTGACCTACCTGTCTACCCTGAACCCTGTTACCTGACCTACCTGTCTACCCTGAACCCTGTAACCTGACCTACCTGTCTACCCTAGACCCTGTAATCTGACCTACCTGTATACCCTAGACCCTGTTACCTGATCTACCTGTCTACCCTAGACCCTGTTACCTGACCTACCTGTATACCCTGAACCCTGTTACCTGACCTACCTGTCTACCCTAGACCCTGTTACCTGACCTACCTGTCTACCCTGAACCCTGTTACCTGACCTACCTGTATACCCTAGACTCTGTTACCTGACCTACCTGTATACCCTAGACCCTGTTACCTGACTTACCTGTATACCCTGAACCCTGTTACCTGACCTACCTGTATACCCTAGACTCTGTTACCTGACCTACCTGTATACCCTAGACCCTGTTACCTGACTTACCTGTATACCCTAGACCCTTTTTACCTGACCTACATGAATAACCTAGACCCTGTTACCTGACCTACCTGTATACCTTGAACCCTGTTACCTGACTTACCTGTATACCCTAGACCCTTTTTACCTGACCTACATGAATACCCTAGACTCTGTTACCTGACCTACCTGTATACCCTGAACCCTGTTACCTGACTTACCTGTATACCCTAGACCCTTTTTACCTGACCTACATGAATACCCTAGACTCTGTTACCTGACCTACCTGTATACCCTGAACCCTGTTACCTGACTTACCTGTATACCCTAGACCCTTTTTACCTGACCTACATGAATACCCTAGACCCTGTTACCTGACCTACCTGTATACCCTGAACCCTGTTACCTGACTTACCTGTATACCCTAGACCCTGTTACCTGACCTACCTGTATACCCTAGACTCTGTTACCTGACCTACCTGTATACCCTGAACCCTGTTACCTGACCTACCTGTATACCCTAGACCCTTTTTACCTGACCTACATGAATACCCTAGACCCTGTTACCTGACCTACCTGTATACCCTAGACTCTGTTACCTGACCTACCTGTATACCCTAGACCCTGTTACCTGACCTACCTGTATACCCTAGACCCTGTTACCTGACCTACCTGTATACCCTAGACCCTGTTACCTGACCTACATGAATACCCTAGACCCTGTCACCTGACCTACCTGTATACCCTAGACCCTGTTACCTGACCTACCTGTATACCCTAGACCCTGTTACCTGACCTACCTGTATACCCTAGACTCTGTTACCTGACCTACCTGTATACCCTAGACCCTGTCACCTGACCTACCTGTATACCCTAGACCCTGTTACCTGACCTACCTGTATACCCTAGACCCTGTTACCTGACCTACATGAATACCCTAGACCCTGTCACCTGACCTACCTGTATACCCTAGACCCTGTTACCTGACCTACCTGTCTACCCTAGACATTTCCACTTAGCATGGAAAAATTAATTCTAACTTATACACTGATTGCTCTTAATGGTACCTTATTTTCAAATTCATAGTTTGAACATTAATCCAAGAGTTCTTGCACAGAAAACAGGCTTCTTACTTCCTGTACTACATTTCCTCAGAAACCTACGTTGTGCTTGTGGACAGCCTTGGCATGAGCCTTGTCTTTGCTGGATGATGATGATGATGATGATGATGATGGCTCGCATACTTCTCGAGATGATCCTCTTCTCTCATACTTCTCTCTTGCTTCCTGAGGAAAACATTAAAATACAAAATAAACATAATTAGTTAAAATTCAAAACAGTGAGTGAGTGAGTGAGTTGGGTTTAACGCCACTTTTAACAGTATTCCAGTTATATCGCGGCGTGTCAGCTTAGTGTGGGAGGAAAGCCCGAAGTGATGCAGGTCTCAGGTCTCAGACGTTTACCACTTCGGTGAAACCCACGAGCACGGGTATGGTGCTGACAAACCTAGAAACATAATCGGGGCGAACCGGGATTCGAACCCACAATCATAGGTTTCTGGCGTGCCTAAGGGACGCAACTCTGCACAGCGAATCGCCGCGCCTCAGATGACTGGGCCACCAGTGCCCCCTAAAATTCAAAACAGATTATTATTGAACCAAGCAGACAATTCCAACTTGGCTACATCTTCCTGAGGCAAGGGCTTTAAATGGATGTCGACAATTTGGTTTAAAGTAAATGCAAGTGATACGAGAGGAATCTGATTGGTCAGTTGGAGGGACATAGAAGGGACATAACTAGTAATAGCCACTGGTGGTGCTTCGACCAAGCCCAGAAATTCCAGCCTAGTTTGGCAAGGGGGGAAACTGGACTTTATAGTCAGGTAACGCCCTTGCATCATGAAGATGATTTGGCTACAGTATGAATCTGAAAGCACTCACATCAGTAAGTCATTTGTTTTTTAATTCCTTCGTTAACTGATTCACTGAACCAAATTTCACATGTTTTAGCTGGAATAAAATCAAAGTTATGAGTACATTTCTTAATCCTGCTGGAGGGTCCACAAAGTTTCCCCAAATGAACAATTTTGTGTTGCAGGTATAGGCCCATCTTCTAGGCCTGTAACATAAATGGTATGAGTGAGTGAGTTGGGTTTAACGCCGCTTTTTACAGTATTCCAGTTATATCACTGCGTGTCAGCTTAATGTGGGAGGAAAGCTCGAAGTGATGCAGGTCTCAGACATTTACCACTTCAGTGAAACCCACGAGCAAAGGTATGGTGCTGACAAACCAAGAAACATAATTGCGGCGAACTGGGATTCGAACCCACAATCATAGGTTTCTGGCGTGCCTAAGGAACGCAACTCTGCACAGCGAATTGCGGCGCCCTAGACGACTGGGCCACCCGTGCCCCCGAATCAGTATGAAAGAGAGTGTGCATGTAATGATTGTGACTGTCTGTACTGGTTGACACAGAGCAGGTCATTGTCATCCCAAACTGGCTTCCACAAGAGATATCACTTGGGTAATATCTCCTGGGAGATACTGCTACAGTTAAACTGCAACACAATGCTTTGCAGACCAATGTGATGATATCAACTGGTTAATTGTTTTACACCGCACTCAGCATATATTCCAGCTATATGACGGAGTTCTGTAAATAATCGAGTCTGTACCAGACAATCCAGTGATTGATATCATGAGCATTGATCCACGCAATTTGGATCGATGACAGGCATCAACCAAGTCAGTGAGCCTGACCACCCGATCCCGTTAGTCGCCTCTTAGGACAAGCATGGTCGCCTTTTACGTCAAGCATGGGTTGCTGAAGACCTATTCCATCCCGGATCTTCACGGGTTGGGATGTTATAGGATATCATGACATCACAATCAAATGACATCACCATTCTCTCTGCCACTAAAGCTGGTTATCTGTCACATGCATGACACTGGTTATTACTGTTTATACACTGAAAAATTCAGCACTTGTTGATAAAAGTAAAAATATGTGTAACTTGTATCTACTTTTCTTAACAAATATTTGATCTTGGGAGATGCTCAGGCGTGGTTTTCTATGTATTGTTTTTCAGAAATTGAATTGGTTCCAATGAGTAAACATTTGTTTTCAGCAAAGTTCTGGCCATGAAAATCAATGTGTTATCATGATCATCTGTTTTGATAATTATTTTACTGTCACCTTGAGATGATAATATCACACCCATGTCACGTTTATGTGACAATATTCAGCCAATGTTCATCTTGCTGAAGTATACAATACAAGGAGATTGAGCTGTCACATTTACCATGTTTGCCAATATATAGCCCGTTGAACCATCAAGATCAACAGATCACCAGCCTCAGAAATTAGGTTTTATTTCAGTCCAACCCAGGGGACTTAGTAAACCTGATTTAACTGTTCATCTGACTTAACAGCTACCGGGCTTCGCTAAAGGGGTACGGTGTAATTTTTTTTCTACGCTTGGTATTCGAAAAAAAAAAAATCAAAAATATTGAGTGCGCTAGAGGGGGGTGCGCATTATACATGGCTGCGCACTATACTCAAGAAAATATGGTAATCCTGCTTGAACAAGACAAACATGATTAATTATAGAAATATAGTCCTCAAATGCTATTAGTCAGTGAGGATTGTTACTTGTCCTCTGCACAATCTAGTAGGCTCGGGCTAACAGACTAGCATGAATTTTAAAGGCTGAATCACTAGTCTTGATCAATGTTAAATACCAGACCTGCATACCTTCTTGTTGATCCTGTGAAACACTAAACATTACCATGACACAAAACTGATCTGACCAATGGCCATGGTTATACAGACTTGTCTAGTGTAAAGATCCACTAGGTAAGAAAGCATTCACTTGGCTTCACTGAGATATTGTGGACAGAGTGTTACCTTTTCTTTCCTTGCCTTGTCAGCTGGAGTGTCTGTCCACACAGATGCATCCTTGTCTTTCTCAGGAATAACTCGAGTCCTGAAAGTCCGAGCTGTTAAACCAAAATTCTTTTTCATTGCCGTTGGGAGCTCAGTCATCCAGGCTTCTCTCTGCTTCGGAGCATCCTTCCCGGGCTGAAACATGTTCATGATGCTGGTTTGTCATCAGTGAAACAATTACAGCATCAGGCTAAGGGGGAGGGGGGGGACTTCTCTCTGCTTCGGAGCATCCTTCCCGGGCTGAAACATGTTCATGATGCTGGTTTGTCGTCAGTGAAACAATTACAGCATCAGGCTTAGGGGGGGGGGGACTAGGGGCAATATAACCTAAATCTAGGAACTCCCTTATACTTCACATCACAGTGATGACCAAGGCCCCACTACCCTACATTCTTAATTTAATGAATGGGATTATGTGAATATTTGATGAATGGATTGTGTATAATTTCATGAACTAATGGAAGTTTATTATTTGATGAATGAATGGATTGTGTATAATTTCATGAACTAATGGATTATGGGTAATATTTCATGAACTAATCCATTATGTGTATAATTTCATGAACTAATCGATTTTGTGTAGTTTCATGAACTAATGGATTGTGTATTATTTGATGAACTCATTGATTATGCTTAACAGTTGATGAAAAAATGGATTATGTTATTATTTGATGAGCAGATTGATTATGTGTATTGTTTCTTGAACCAATGGAACGAATCAATTATGTGTACAACTGAATGAACTTATCAATTATGTGTATAATTTCATGAGCTAATCGATTATGTGTATAATTTTCCAACTGTTCACATGGCGGTCATTTCCCAGGTAATTGCTCTTACAGTTTAAAAGGTAGGTAATTCCAATATTAAGTATTCTAATCATCAGAGTGTGAAATAACAAATAAGAACTAATAAGGATAATCATTTAACCATTTAGTTCACATCTTCTTTTTATGAAACTCTTCCACCAGTGGACTGATGTAAGCTCAAAATTTTGAAGATCAGCTAATTTATATTCTGTTATCTGTAGCTCCAGAACAGCAGAGTGTCCATTTTAAACAATAATCACTTTGACAAGGTCAACAATATGTTGACTGACAAGTCGGAGAACCAACATATCAAGGGTTAACTTATAGTACGGTAATCTTCTACAGCAAGTTAAGTCAGAGTTCTTACTCTGAGTTCGTGGCTAGACCTGCTTTACAAGACAAAAATGTTTACCCTGTGTACTATGTTTACAGCTTCTGTCTGTTTGATAAAATTCCAATTTGTAGCGAAATTGAAGAACTGAGAACTGGTTCAGAATTGTGAACTCAAATGCTACTAGTCAAAGAGGACTACCATAATTGGAATTTTACTTGTCCAATGCAAAATTAAGTAGTCTCAGGCGAGCAGACTGGCATGAATTTCAAAGATTTTAAGTTTAGTTTACATTTCTTTTTCTTATACATATTTCACACCAAACTGATAAAAACATACATCATCTGTGAGCTTCTCTTTCATCTTCTTCGCTCTCTGCTCAATTTCGGCTGCTGCAGCTGCACTCAAATCACCTGTCATCATTTCAGAAGGCAGAGGTCCGATCACATCCTCTTCAAACCCACCTTCTGGCTGTTGAACAGGTTTAAACCCCGGGGGCAAGGATGGACCAAACCAGTCCTCCTCGTCACAAACATCAACTGTCTGTTTCTTAAAACCAGGTGGCAACATGGGACCAATGGATGCTTGATCATCAAGATTGGAGTCACTTCTACTCTTATAACCTGGAGGAAGAGCTGGGCCTATGTCATCTCTCTCCTCTTCATCATTGCTGCTATCCCTGACTGGACTAATGTCGACATCTTCTGAATGTTTTAATTTCAGAAGGTGAGGAGGAAGAACTGGGCCTATTATTTCAGTTTCTTTTTGATCAGCTGGTCCAGAAATGCCAGTTTCTTTCCTTATTTTTAAGTGTGGGGGCAGTGCTGGTCCTGTAGTTGAGTTTTGTTCTCTCTCATCATCAGAGTCAGTATGTTTTCGTTTCCTCATATGAGACGGCAAGCTTGGTCCTGCAACATCTTCACCATCACTTGAAGAATAACTGGTCTTCCTTTGTTTGTATCCTGGAATTAGAGATCAAACAGCTGCTTCTAAGAACAAGTTCTGAAAACATGCCGTCATCAGCATATTGGGGAGTGAATGAGTACATGCAGCTATGTGCGGCCATCTATTATCAACTAAATATGATGACACAAGGTATGACTAATTGTTTTCAAGGAAGTCACAAACTGGTGAATTATTTTGTAGAGAGAGAGCATGGACAGAGGACTATACAGGGAAGTAGAATGTGATTTAAACATGTCAAAGGGTCTGACCACTACTTTCTACATGACTCCGTTTCTCAGGTTTGTAGTTTTACGCCGCACTCAGCAATATTCCAGCTATATGGCGGCGGTCTGTAAATAATCGAGTCTGGACCAGACAATCCAGTGATTGACATCATGAGCATTGATCCACGCAATTGGGATCGATGACATGCATCAACCAAGTCAGCGAGCCTGACCACCCGATCCCGTTAGTCGCCTTTTACGGCAAGCATGGGTTGCTGAAGACCTATACTACCCCGGATCTTCATGGGTCCATTTCTCAGGGAGCAAGCCACTATGTACTTATTTCTACCCACCTATTTCCAAAACTTACGCATTCTGTGTTATTAACATAGTATGTGTTTCAACCATTTTATCTTGAAATTATGCATAACAAATGGCAAAAAACACACGAATCATTGATCATAAGTATTAGTTGACTTAGGGTATGTTACCCAAACTCTGTCCTTATAGCCCTTTCCAATGAAGCATCCCATTACGACCATTAGGGTTAGGTACCCCTTGCCAATCAAACAACCCCGCTTACTATCCTTAGGGTTAGTGGGTTAGGGTCTGGGTTAGCTATCCCGCCTCTTTTAAGGAATTAATCCAGAGGAACTTGAGGTAAATTTCTATTAAGTTTCGAGTATCGCGGAAAAAAATTGACAGTAGCTAGACTCCCGTTTTCTCCCGCTGTCGATTTTATCATCGTGTTGCAAACCTATTGATCCGCGGTCGAATTTACGAACCTGGAGGAAGCGCCGGCATATACGTGTCTTCGTCCATCGCTGTAATATACAAACAGTAAAGTATTTCAAACAAAACCAGGATTTTTCATTTGCAAACTTTCCAAAACAATAAACTTGCAGCCATATTGAATATAGTGTTTCCTTTGATGTTGTAATAAATGAACATTGATTGGCTGAAATTAGGGATTTGACCAATAGAAACCCGTGTTACAAATGTAAACTGTATGAACCACTTCCGCTTTTCAACACGTGTTGCAATCACAACACAACAGTCAAAACAGAGAAGTGATGACGCCAGCTGATTAACACTATGCCCAAAAACAAAGGTGGTGGCGGAGGAAAAGCTGGAGGAGGTGCAAAAGCTGGGGGAGGGGCTAAAGGGGGAGGAGGTGCCAAAGGGGGGTCGAAAGGAGCTGAAGGAGGTGCCAAAGAAGCGAAAGCAGCGAAAGGAGGCACTGCTGTCAAGGTGCGTATCACCATCTGATCACTAAAGACTGAACTTGGTACAAATGTAGTATTGCTTCCTCATGCGTTGACTTTTAACATAAGACCATTATTCAGATGTGTGAAGTTCTTCTGTGATCCGAATTTGGAAGAAATATACTGCGTATACGTCCTATAATTTTAAGTATGAATTTATTCACCAGGTTGAGATATACCCGATAGCGGCCAGAGATGCGATGTTTACAACATGTAGGTCGTGTCAAGTCAGTCACTGGTTTGTCTGGCCCATTTCCTTACAGGCTGGAATATTTCTGACTGCCACCTCAACAACAAACTAAAAACAAACAAACCACAAATATCCGCTTTTTGCCCCCAAAGCTAGTGAAGCTGTTGAAGCTGTTGTAGATGCTTCACTGTTGCATTCCCCAAAGGGGACCTTGGTACCCCAGTACTGGTTGTAAGCATGGCATAAGTAAGAGGCGACTAAACTGGATCAGTTGGTCAGCCTCTGTGATTCAGTTAAATCTGTCAGAGCTCCAGATAAGCTGCGTATCTGCGTAAAATACGCATCAGAAATGCAGAAATACGCAGTAAAATCAAATCAAAGTGTATCAAATACGCAACGAACATTACAGATACGCTACAAAATAAAACTTGTGCATATCATCAAAATTTTGTGAAGTAACCCTGCGTATTCGATTAGCAAATCAGCAACTTATTTTGAAATTATAAACGGGCATTCCATCAAACTTGCCAAAGTCCACGATGACAGTTACATCATGATCATTTGCCATCACACTCTCTTGTGGAAGTATCGTGGTATTTTGAGTCCTACATAGCTCTCGAACCCACCGGAACCAGTTTGCAGGGCCTAGATGAATAGTGTTTTTAAATATTTAACTTAAATACCCACTTGTGTAAAAACTAGTGCGTAACAGAAATTTGAATACCCAGATAGAATTACTGATACCCAAAGATTTTTAAATGCATGGGTAAAATACCCACAATACCAAAAGCTTATCTGGAGCTCTGATCTGTGTTTCCATACTTCTCGAAAATCAGTTATTCATTATCCTGCCATGTTATAGCTGAATGTTGCTGACTGTGGTGACATTAACCCAAATTCACGCCCTGACTTGTTTTTGTTGAATGTTTGGTTCATTAATTATAAGCATTGTGTTTTTAATAATCAAAGATTGAATATGTTAAATATACATAAAAAATTCCAAACACGGCACTCACTCACTCGACCCGTGAAGATTCCGGGGTAGAATAGGTCTTCAGCAACCCATGCTTGCTGTAAAAGGTGACTATGCTTGTCGTAAAGGCGACTAATGGGATCAGGTGGTCAGGCTCGCTGACTTGGTTGTTGTGTCATGCTCATAATATCAATTACTGGATTGTCTGGTCCAGACTCGATTATTTTCGGACTGCCGTCATATAGCTGGAATATTGCTGAGTGTGGCGTAAAACACTCACTCACTCACTCACTCACTCACTCACTCACTCACTCACTCACTCACTCACTCACTCACTCACTCACTCACTCACTCACTCACTCACCATTCAGGTTAGAATTGGCCTTCACCAATGCATGTCATAAGAGGCAACTGTTGGGATCTGGTGGTCAGGCTCGTTGACTTGGCTGATCCAAAATGAGTAGATTGATGCTCATGATGTCAATCTCCGAAATTCTCTGGTCCAGACTTGATTATTTACAGACCGCTGTCATATTACCGAAATATTACTAAGTGCAGTATTAAACAACAATCCCACACTCACTGACAAACATTTTCCTTCTTCTTGTCCCTGGCCAGGTGCGTCACATTCTGTGTGAGAAGCAGTCCAAAGCTCTTGAGGCCATCGAGAAGATTAAAAGTGGAATGAAGTTCAGTGAAGTTGCGGCTCAATACAGTGAAGACAAGGCGAGATCAGGGGTAATTGTCTACAGAATCTTAATCTCAGCACTTTAATTCAATTCCTTTCAATTTATTTTAATGTTTGTTTCCTTTTCAACAGTCTGATTAAGTACACCTTTTCCGAAAATAGTACAACGTTTTCAGTTGCTCCTCTTACTATAATTACTATTATTTCCCTCATTCCATTACGCCACTAGCTCTGTTCAAGAAGTGACCGCCTCCGCGGTCTAATGGTAGAGCGTCCGCCCGGAGAGCGGAAGGTCCTGGGTTCAATCCCCAGCCGCGTCATACCAAAAGACATTAAAAGATGGTACTTGTTGTTACCCTGTCTGGCGCTCGGCATTAAGGGGCTAAAACAAGGACTGGTCAGCTCGGAGTCAGTATACCGTGTCTGAGTGGGGTATTCATGTTAAACTGCGGCATGGTATCTCAGTGGGCTAGCACAATAAATTGGCATCAGTCCGGACTAGTACAAGCAGCCACACACACACACATACACGTGCATGCATGTCGCTATATAAGTGCAATAATCTTGGACGCGACGTTAAACCCCATTTTACCTCACCTGTTCAAGAAGTGATCCCGTTTATCACCATGTGTATACTGTTTATCACCATATAATTTTTTAATTTGAAGTTTACACGATATGCGGCTTTTCCATTGGACGAGAGATCGGTCACATGACTGTGAAATTAATGTTTATAAGTGAATGTACGATGCAATTTGACGTTTTTCATACGTTTTTCACGAGACAGTGTTCTTGAAATGATGTTAACACTGACGGACTACTTCCACATTCCTGGGGAATACCCTGCCACGAATACGTTCTGATCATTTAGACCCTTTAAATCTTGAACTCAGTTTTTAGAATACATGTGCATTGAGAAACGTCAGAGTTTGACTGCACGATTGTTCACAAATATCCTCGCTACGACCCATCCCAGTAAACAAAACAAAGAACTGCACATCCAAACTATGGTAGTATCGACTCAATCTGTGTCTAGGCTGGCAGTGACTGTCTACAGCAATCTATGACTTTAACCTTAGTGTCTATTTGACACATCCTTTATCACCTTTAAATGATCGCCCAATTGATCAATGGTGACTAACACATGTAACCGCCATGTGTTCATTAGCAACTTCCGAAATCTCTCCCGTCACGTTTATCGTGTCGGCCATTTTGACGTCATGTGCTTGATGTAAATGTATTACGACGCGCTGTCATTGTGACTGACTTACTGAGGTAGTTCTTTACAGACCTTTCTCATCTAATAGTGATATTATTTGAATACGTGTTGCGTAAAATGTTTCTGAAGAGCAAGTTGTGCATCCATACGCCCATGTCACCTGTCTTTTTGAGGAACTATTTTATTCGGCGATATTGCTGGTTGTTGTATGGCTGTCAGTGTAAACATGAAGTCACACGTACTAAATAAAATTGTGTTCAGAACTTGGCCTACATTCTTTGAGGTAAGAAATTGTGATAACAAATTATAAGAATTGACTTTCACTTTGTGTGAGTTCATTGGAGTATGAAACATTGTTTGGCCCTCACTCTATGAAGGTTCAAACTCCAATGAACTCACACAAAGTGAAAGTCAATTTATAAGTGTTCAGCGTTTATCACCATGTGTTTACCATTTATCACCATGTATTTACCGTTTATCACCATGTGTTTACCGTTTATCTCCATGTGTTTACCGTTTATGGCCATGTATTTACCGTTTAGAACCATGTGTTTATCGTTTATCACCAGTTGTTTACCGTTTATGGCCATGTGTTTACCGTTTATGGCCATGTATTTACCGTTTATCACCATGTATTTACCGTTTATCTCCATGTGTTTACCGTTTATCGCCATGTGTTTACCGTTTATCGCCATGTGTTTACCATTTATCACCATGTGTTTACCGTTTATCGCCATGTGTTTACCATTTATCTCCATGTGTTTACCTTCAGGGCGACCTGGGCTGGATGACCCGGGGTTCCATGGTTGGACCGTTCCAGGAAGCTGCCTTTGAACTCCCCAACAGCACCGTGGACAAACCCAACTACACCGACCCTCCAATCAAAACCAAGCACGGTTATCATGTGATCATGGTGGAGGGGAAGAAGTGACCGTGTTGCCCTAAATGTTGAGGCATATTCTTCACTGACATCATTTCATCACAGCGATATAAACCGTTGTTCCACTACAAGTCGACTATTTCTCATAGGAATATATGTTTTAATTGGAAAGGTTATTTGATCGACAAATGACACTGTGAAATAGGGTTTGTGAAGGAGAAGTATGAAGAATTAATACTTGCAATGTATCAGACAACCAGAAATACAACAAACTGCTTAGAAATCAGTTCATGCAGTGTTAGAAATTGACACTAGTCCTGTAGTCCTTGCCAAGCTGCCCAATAGTTAAGGTATCCTAAGGACTAGTAGAAATTTGCCATTAATAAGGGTTTTGCTATATGTTATCATTATAAGGACTGGTGGACTAAAACTGTTAGTTTCTATCGCTGTAATATCTGGAATATGTTTAGTTTACTATTCATATGAACCATCACATTTGAGGGATTAACTTTGGGTTCATTGTTTAAAACCACAACTTGACACATACCAAACACGGCCTTTCTAATGGAATAACTGTTACCGTTATTCGACGTAATAAGCGCCCAGGGCGCTCTCAAAATTAGAAATAGGGGGCTCTTATTAGAATATTATTTTGGTGAAAAAAACCAGAGTTGAAAGATAAATTTCGTGGTTTATGCTGACAGCCTGAAATGTTTATGTACGACAGATATATTTTTCCAGAATTTGATTGCCCATAATTAAGGGTGCATATAACACACGAGTGGGTATTATTTGCGAAAAAATAAGCCTTGTGTACATTGATCAATCGGAAGGGGTGCCAATTGGGATTGTTCACTTGCCATATATTAGCAAATATCGCTGTGGGCGCTTATTAGAGCGGGGCGCTTATTACATCGAATACGGTATGTATTTGTTAGACCGGTGTCACGTTGCTGTTGGGCGATCTCACACTATGCAGAATGTTTGGTATTGAGATTTGGGGGTCCATTTAGAGGGGATTCAGGACAGTTTGCGGGATGCAGATAAAATCTTTTTGGTATGTAGATTCAACGTTTAAGTCACAGAACTAACATGTATTAATATTGATTTTTAAACTAACCCAAACTCCCAGGAACCACATCTCTGCACATGCTGAGATCATGGGCATCTGTGGAATGTTTTAGCATCAGGCATCAGCAATTGACTTACAGAAACTGTAGTTGTTATGGTACTGATATTGTTACCATGGTTACATGTAAACTGTCCCAATCATGAAGCTATTCAATCATGTTCATGTCTCTTCTTGTAATTGTTGTCCTTAACCTGTGAATAAATTTATTTACATTTTTGTGTCGTTATTGTGTCGACCTTGACCCACAACAATCAGCACACAGGTCATGAATCAGGTGAGTGAGTGAGTGTGTGAATATGGTTTTATGCTGCTTTTAGCAATATTCCAGCAATATCACGGCGGGGGACACCAGTAATGGGCTTCACACATTGTACCCATGTCGGGAATCGAACCCCGGTCAACACTTTACCCACTGCCCCAACAGCTGTGATACATCACTGTGTACTGCTCAACTTTAGATAGGGCGATTCAGATATGCCATTCTATTTAAATATACACTTGATATATTGTGAGAAACAGTTTTGTGTATCATGGAGCGATAAATATATCCTATCAAAACTGGAATAGTATCTATGAATTACCAAATCATAGAGTGGAGTATAGACCGCCAGAGGAGGTTTGGTCATACTTCACAAGGCAAAAAGTGAGCAGGGCTCAGTAATACCTCCGACTTCGACTCCAACATATTTCTAAGTACAAAACATTAAAAAGCAAAATATCCTCAGAACATCCACTTATCAAAATGAAACTTTGCACTGCACCTCTCCTATTGGTATAGAAACTGGAGCCCCAATTAGGAAAGAAGCATGAAGTAGTTTTCAAGTTATAGGTTGCACAAATGCTGAAGTGAAAAGAAACTCAGACACAAACTTGCATAAATTCTCCTCAAAATGATTCACAGACTCCAATAATTTCAATAAATTATTCTGCCTCCTATGTTGACTGAAGACTTCGAGCTTGACACATAAAACAAACAATTGTCAACTTGGATAAATTTTATTCTGCTCAAAGAAAGAAACAAGTCCGGTCTTTCAACCTTAGTTAAATAAATAATTCTTTAATCATATCAAATACTAGGATGAACAATAACAGAAATCAATTTTCTAGAATTAGCTACACAAATGTCATGGCAACAACTAACAAAACCAGACACATCTTTCTTAAAATCCCTTCACATAAAAATAACCGATTCTTTGTCATTCACAAGTGACAGTTGCATATTTAATTTTTACCCTTTTTTTTAACCCTTTTTTTACCCAATGCCTTCATGGTTGCTAAATAAAAATATTCAGTATATCAAAAGTATTGGTAGAAAACCCATGGCATCAAGTAAAATGAGCCGTATATCTTGTGTAGTATGATACGTATACATGTATATCATGATTTGCATATTTTCTCCACAGTTTGCCGAGTGTTGTATATACAGTCGTTAACGCTCGGACCTCGATATGATGAGCCAATGAGACTGAGGGGCAGCCTCGTGTCAGCCAGGTACCTGTCCATGGACGACAGCCGCTGGTTGTGGCCGAGCACGTACTGGGGAATACAGTTCTATAAAACACACAAACATGAGAACTTACTACATGGTAGAAGAATTGTAGTTTCGAAGAGATAAAGTGTATCTTGAATTCAAGAGGGTAGAATACCATTGTTGCTGTAATATGTGCCCCAGGTGCATACAACCTTGACAAAAGGGGGCACTTATTGAACCATACATGTCTTACATTTCTTTTCAGAGATCTAGCCGTATAAACAGACTTAGTTCAAATGTCAATAAATCTATAAGGCCACATTTTTTTTTTTCGTTTCACAGGCCCACCACCCCTACTTAAAAACATCAGGCCTAAGAAACACTATAAATATTTAGTTTTATTATGAGTGAGTGAGTTGGATTTTACGCCGCTTTTAGCAATATTCCAGCAATATCACGGCAGGGGACACCAGAAATGGGCTTCACACATTGTACCCATGTCGGGAATCAAACCCGGGTCTTCAGCGTGATGAGCGAATGCTAGAACCACTAGGCTACCCGACTGCCCCTAGTTTTATTATGCCTCCCGCTTGTAATATAAACCTCTCACAGCAGAATAAATAAATAAATAAATAAATAAATAAATAAATAAATAAATAAATAAATAAATAAATAAATAAATAAATAAATAAATAAATAAATAAATAAATAAATAAATAAAATTAAAAAAAAATTAAAAAATAAATACATTTTTATTTTTGTTTTGACCAATCTTTTGTGGCAAAGATGGAAAAAATTCGTGAAACATAAGATTAAAAACGTGTGAACTAATGTTCGAAAACAGTTTTAGGCAAGTACATATACCGTATTCGACGTAATAAGCGCCCTGCTCTAATAAGCGCCCACGGCGATATTTGCTAATATATTGGCTAGTGAACAATCCCAATTAGCACCCTTTATGTGTTAATAAGCACCCTTAATTACAGGAAATTAAATTCTGGAAAAATATATCTGGCGTGTCTAATACGCACAGACTTTTCTTTTGTATCATTTCAGGCTGTCAGCCTAAACCACAAAATATAAGATCTTTCAACTCTTTCACCAAAATTATATTCTAATAAGAGCCCCCTCTTTCGAATTTTGAGAGCGCCCTGGGCGCTTATGACGTCGAATACGGTACCCCTTCTGCGCTGCTGTTTTCTGTATTAAAACATCTGTAATATACACAAGTACATACAGACTGTCATGTACATTTTCATTCTTAGTAGGGGGCGCTTATAAAGATTACCAACAGATTGGTCAAATTTGAAGGTGTCTGAGTGAAGTTTGGTTTTACAAAGACACAATCAAACAAGTCGCTGAAACTGACCACCGGTCCATGAAGTCCACTCTCACGACAAGTACAGGTTGCGGAGGACGCGGGAGCGAATCTCACCCTTCCAACCCTAGCTAGTCAAAAGAGGCGATAAGAATGGGATCCCTGGTGATTTGGCGATAGAATAAGTAAGCAATTTTGTCTGGCTGTAAGATGTCGTGTATTAATAGAACATGTCGTCCGACTCGGTCCCGTGGTTGATGGCTAGTCAATGAACCCCAACTGTGTAGATTACTGCCCATAACATCCATCACTGGATTGTCAGTTCCAGATTCAATTATTACAGGCTGTCATCATATAGCTGGTGCGACATAAAACAGGGAACAATTCCAAGCGGAATCCCGCTGGGGATGCAGTGACACGCCCATCACTACCCACCTTCTGTAGCGTGACGTATGTACGTGTTGGTTTCTCCGTAATGCCAAGTTGTGTCTTCAGTGTGTCCAGTGCAATTTGATTCAAGTGAGATTCATCCAGATTGGTCAACTTCACCAGATCGTCAAACCAAGCTCCACCCAACATCACCTACAACAACATCGACTCTACATAAATAACAACAGAATTAGCTGTATCCCCGTCACAGCAAACAGCCACATACGAACTACTGTAAAGTAAGTGTAGGCTATCATCCCCTCTGTCACACGAGTACTGTCTGTCATATGCTCTCTTGTGTTCTGGGAAGGTTGTTGGTTTGTAGTTTAACGCCGCACTCAGCAATATTCCAGCTATATGACGGCGGTCTGTAAATAATCGAGTCTGGACCAGACAATCAAGTAAATGTCATCATAAGCATCGATCCACGCAATTGGGATACGATGACATGCATCAACCAAGTCAGTGGCCTCTTACTACAAGCATAGTCCCCTCTTACGACAAGCATAGTCGCCTTTTACGGCAAGCATGGGTTGCTGAAAACCTATTCTACCCTGGATCTTCACGAGAGATGGGAAGGTTGTTATACGGCAGTGTATTTTATTGTATGTGTTACATTGTTTCTGTTGAGATTCGGTAGACGCTCATTGCGTTGTGTTTGGGCTGTGATCAGTCGTCAGGAAGGTACTATATTTAGATGCTTGTGTGGTGTGTAAACTTCCACTCCAGTATACTACAGATGTTGATAGTATGTTATGGAAACTCCATTAATGTTCTAGTGCCAATGGACTGGTGAGGGCACTGTGTGGAATTTTCCAGTGGCTGGGTAGGGTGTATATAAAGGGACAATAGCTTGTATTACATATCTCTCATGCATTTCATCACATCGGAACCAGCTTTCATGTGAGGATCGCTCATCTTCCCTGATTCCCTGCTTGGCAGTAATTGTTTTTCCACCTTTTTTTATCTTATTAATTTTGTTGTCCTTACATGTACATACATACATACATACATACATACATACATACATACATACATACATACATACATACATACATACATACATACATACATACATACATACATACATATATGCTCTTTGCCTCATGGCATTCATTCACCTGATGAAGGAGTAAACATAGTCTCCGAAACGTGTTCCTTATAATAAAGAAGTTGACATCCATATATTCTTTTCCTTATGTGTATCACTTCTAAATGCCTTTCAAAGACCTAGTAATTTGTATTGATTTGTAAACTGTTGATTGTATTCCACTTGTTGTCTGTGTGTTGGTTTCACACTACAGATTTCTTGGTAAACATATTGTTTCAGTTAGGGAATCAACACGTAAAAAGTTGGTATATTTTACTCACCGTCAACCGTGTACTGTCTGCCATGTCAGCTCTGTTGTGTTCAGGGAAGGTGCAGGAATCGTAGATCACGCCCAGAACTGGGCCGCTCTCGAAGGATGGAAGGAGGTGTCCGAAACCCTGGAAGCAGAAATTCAGTTTTCAAAGAAGTATCAGGCGTTTACCTGCCTTCAAATAACTAAGAAGATACCCATGAAGATCCAGGTTAGATTTGGTATCCAGCAACCCATGCTTGGCGTAAGAGGCAACTAATTGGGTGGTCAGGCTCGTTGACTTGGTTGATGCATGTCATCGATCCCAGTTGTGTTGATCATGATGTCAATCACTGGATTGACTGGTCCAGACTCAATTATTTACACAGTTGTGTTGATCATGATGTCAATCACAGGGTTGTCTGGTCTAGGCTCAATTATTCACAGATCTCCGTCACATAGCTGTAATATTGCTGAGTGCGGCGTTATACAACAAACACAACAGTAGAAGGTTTGTGTAAAGGATACGAGCATATTTTCCGAATTACAATTGGCTTTACCAAATTGATCAGTAATTATCATTTTTAAGCCAACATAAATGAATTCTTAGATTCGATCATTGTAATTCAGTTATTTTAACATAAACTAACAACAGAGTCCCAATCACTCTGTTCAAGTAGGTCAAGATCTTTCCTGAAAACAGGGAAGTATATTAAAGGGGCGCTATGCTTTACAGTCTCGTCTAGATGTGCAATTCATGTCACGTATGTGAAATATCCACCCATGAATGCATGCTCCTAGAGCTACATGAAAGCACATGTAGAAAGAAACTTATGCAGTAGGGCTGGGACGGGGAACTCGGGTCGGGTGGGTCCTAAGTAGGACCCGGGTACCCACAGTACTACCCAAACTGTGGTTAATCACGTGATATATTGTTTAATGACAAAAACTTAATATAACTCAGTGGTTACACTACAAGTCACTAATGTTCCCATTTCTTTATGATGATGCACACAGTACTTTTAACTTGTATATGTTTGAGTAAAGATAAAGCTTCAGTAAACTTCAGTGTACGCATGATTTTATCGTTTCATAAGAGACCATGTATCTATAATATGGTCTCTGGTTTCATACATGTATCTAAACAGTTTTTGCCACGGCTACAGTTAAACTATTCCCAATTAGACATTGTGTTCCCAACTCTTGAGACCTACAGTGGGTACCTGAGTAGGGTCGGGTAATAGGGGGTTGGGTACCCGGGTAGTAAATTTGGACTCCTCGCAGCCCTATTAAGCAGGATGAAGCCTGAACTTTATATGTTAAAATCATCTCAAGTGTAAAACTTATTAACTGGTTAATTTACGTCACACAATTTGAGTGGGTTGTTGAATACAACTTGCTGGTACTGCCTGTGATTATCCCCCTTTAACAATAGAAATTCAAATTGACAAAGAAAGAAACTAATTTATTTATTTGGAGTCACAACAGTCATCACTTGTTTGTAAACATAACAGTCAGTTGGCTGCAAGTTTAACTCCATACATGGTTGTGTCCTCCCATCACTGTGGGGAGCTTTGACTGATGGTGATAAAGATGGTATAGAGAGCTCCAGGAACAGGCTACTGCTGTGAGGAGCTTGTAGTTTCGGGGCAGATCCAGGATTTAAAGGAGGTTGGTTCCAAGGATAAGGTAACGCTGAGAGGAGCAGCTGAACCTACCTCGTGCGGTAGTTGTAGTCCCTCGTACTCCACGTTGATGACGACGACAGACACAGCAGGAATCTGCATCAAGTTGTCCTGGAAGGGACTGGGTGGCAGCAAGCTGCCCAAATCTGGAAACAATCACAGAAAGTGGTGTGGCGCCAATGCAACCAATCATCACATGGAAGAAAATATTGGCTGAGAAGGGTGTGGGGCCATTAAATATTTTTACCTGAAGACAAGCACTTATTTAATGACTAATTTAGCTTCCCCAAATTCAGGTCAGTAGTTTGAACATATTAAAATTCAAATTTCAAATATATTTTGTGAGCTGCTCAAACTTTTCTAAAGATAAATTTTACAATTTTCACCAGGTTTTAATAAAAGTACTTTAAATTAAAATAGTATTTTACTTCTATTGTTAGCAACAGTAAATAAGTTTGTTTTCTAACATTTTACTTATTTCTGGTCTGCAAAACAAAAGTTTCATTTTCATTTTTCACATTTAAATTTTTTCGATTGTGCAGATATGTTTACCAAGTTTTAAAAAAAAGCCTGGCGTTCAAAGTTATGATACCTTTTGAATAGACACCTGAGAAGATGTGGTCAGCTGTGATGTCTTCACCCTCTGTCTTCACCTGCACAACAATCACGGAGAAACTACATTTAATATTTAATGTGCATCAGCTACATTATCTACCCATGAAGATCCGTGGTAGAATAGGTCTTCAGCAACCCATGCTTGCCGTAAGAGGAGACTGTGCCTGTCTTAAGATGCGACTAACAGGATCGGGTGGTCAGGCTCGCTGACTTGGTTGATGCATGTCATCATATCCCAACTGAGTGGATCGATGCTCATGATATCAATCACTGGATTGTCTGGTCCAGACATGATTGTTTACAGACCGCCGTCATATAGCTGGAATATTGCTGAGTGCGACTTTAAACAACAAACAAACAAACAACATTTGCTTTGATCAAATTGAATGTAAATATTCCTCACTTACGTTGCAGCACTACAGACACACACTCACTGGAGGAAGGAATTCAAGATTTGACATGTGAAAATATGGATATCAGATGTGCATATATACAACAAATCAAGATGACTAAATTATTAATATCACTCTGAATCATTCCATCAAATCAGTCAACGCATTAATGTTCGTGATAGTAGTCTGACCTTCAGTCTCCCATCATGCAGCACTTCAATGCCCATACATGGTGTTGAGGTCCTGACCTCTGTTGCACTATTCTGGCCAATCACAGTGGACATTGCATCGGTCAGTTCCTGCAGGCCTGTCTTCAGTGACCACGACACCCACTTCTCCAACTTGGCTGCTCGCACCAGCGACGAGGATGGAATGTCTCTCTCTACATCAAGTGATAACAAACATCAAAGGCTTGTGTTTTAGGGATTTTTTAAAAGGTAAATCACTTTATGTTGGAAATGCATCTTCCTGAGGCAAGTGAGTGAATGAGTTGGGTTTAACACCGCTGTATTCCAGTTATATCACGGCACGTCAGCTTAATGTGGGAGGAAAGCCCAAAGTGATGCAGGTCTCAGACGTTTACCACTTCGGTGAAACCCACGAGCACGGGTATGGTGCTGACAAACCTAGAAACATAATTGGGGCGAACCGGGATTCGAACCCACAAGGGACACAACTCTGCACAGCGAATCGCGGTGCCCCTGCCCCCCTCCTGACTATAAACGTCCAGTTTCCACCCTTGCTGAACTAGGCTGGAATTATGGAGTTCTTTTTTGGCTGGACTAAGGAGTCTATTTATAGTCCAATCAAAATCGCATAACGAAATCAACATCCGGTTCATAAACTTCCGTCTTGATTTCGGTCGGTGGTAAGATTTGGAAAGCATGTGTATCATCAACTTAGTATCAACATATATTTTCCAAATCTATTTGTGTTTTTAATCAAGGTGCTCACATGATTTGGCGCATTTCGAAAAGTAAGTCGGTTTTATAACAATATAGATCTTGATTATCGATCAGATCGTCACTGGGCTCCGCCATTTTGTATGAAGCAGAAGCATGTGATACGAGAGGTGGAATCCGATTGGTCAAAAGGAGGGACATAGAAGGGACATAACTCATAACAGCCACTGGTGGCGCTACGATCGGGCAAGGAAATTCCTGTCTAGTTTGGCAAGGGTGGAAACTGGACTTTTATATTCAGTTATCTCCCTTGCCTCGATAAGATTCATGGGAAGTGTAATAAGTATAGTTTTGCCCTGAACTATTATAGTTAAAGTATGAGGAACTTTGCGTTCAATTGCTTTGACATCATATTAGTTCTGGTGAGAACTATACATGATGTTTTTAGGTTTGCAATTACATATCACGATTATATTTTTCCACAAAAGGCAACAGTGATTCACACATTAAAGTAATCGATGTACTGTTACCTCTACACCAAATCTTACTTTTGGGTTTCAGCATGCCCTTGATGACCGACCCGTGCTCTCGCTCCAGGTTGGTCAGTATCGGGAAGCACGCGTCTATGCTCAGGTTCCGGCAGTCTCCTGCAAATATGCCCCTGCACATCGGGTCAACGGCATAGTCAGCAAGCTGCAACACACAAACTTCTTCTTAAAGGAACAGTTGCATTCATGTCTATATTTTCACTAACATATCTGCATTAGAGGAGTTGCATGTTGACAAGTTGTCATACAAGTAGCATTCAATATTGTTTGGAAGTGTCTCGTTTTCAAAAACATTACAAATTTATACAGGGTTTAACTTGACCAATTACTAATTTCAAGGGTCCTTATAGAAAATAGGAGGGTCCTGTAAAGTAAAGAAATTGTGTAGTGTCCTGAACTGTAAGATTTAATAATTTCTTTAATTATTTGTCGAGAATTTGGTACAATGAATATCAATCTCATTTAAATCAGATCTTAGTTCTAACAAAGATTTGAGGACATCCCATTACGGGTCATGTCAGACCGACCTTGCACGAACTTTGCCTGACCAATGAAATGACCAATCAGAAGGCAGCTTTCTCGGCACAAAATTCAAATTAGCGACTACGCTACAAAGCATATTTTGACAAATTCTCGATTACAAATTTGAAACCGGAACAAAAAAACATTCTGAAATGGCTAAAAGATGGTCTAGATTGTAAGGATTCAGTCGTTAAACCCGTAACTATCGTTCGGAATACCCCATGTTAAAGTTTTTTCGAGATTGCATGATTAGAAATCACATCCCGACTGTCACTTTCATAATCTGGTAAGCGACAAACTGATTGGTCGGATGAAAGGTTGTTCTGACGTGACCCCTAATGGGATGTCTTCAGATCTTTGTTTAGCGGTATCGAGAACTAAGATCTGAATTTAAAGAGATTGAATGAATATTGTTGTGTGTCCCTTGGCAAGCAATTTAGATTTTTTTCTGCATCCATTCTATACATTTGTGAGTACTGGACGCACATTTCTGCGTCTTATCAAACCCTATTATAAGTCATTTATATAGCATTCCGTTAAGCTGCTGTTAACAGTTTTGTCACTGTATGAACTATATCAGTATCCTTGAGTTGTCATGATAAAAAGTTCAGTTGTACATATCGCTATATCAACGCACTCACCTCTGATCCAAATCTCCTGGCTACAAAACCATGAACTGTTTCATCAGAGTTATCCCCCTTCTTTGTAAGGAGTTCTTTCAGACCGCTGAGGATCATTGGCTTGGAGAAGGGTGCTTGTGTCGTCATAATGGACTTTAAACCTACAGAAGAGAAATAAGTGAACGTTTCAATCAAATCACAGCTTGTCAGTTTAATGTGGGAAGAGAGCAAAATGAAGCAAGTCATCGACATTTACCAGTTTGATGAAATGTCAAAACATACCTAGAATCATAATAAGGGCAACTCTAAGATTTCAAAGCTAATTGCATTCCCCCCGACCAGTGCTGGCCAACCTGCGCCATGATGATGTTTCTAATTTTCATATAGAGGAAAAACAATCTGCATCACCATAGGCTCACTTGAATAGAGCGGAAAGATCAATAAATCCTACATCATATACTCATGACAATTTAGAAGACCAAAAAATATTTAATAAAAAAAAAGTGTTGATACATGAAGTGCTGTGGTTTGGAATCAAATTAAATCTTGGACACATACAAAAGATGTTTTACCAAAGTATTTATTATCTGTGAAATCCCTACCTCACATCACACAGACCATATGCCGATGTGCTATATTGGTGTTAATGAAATGTTATGGGTTTTTTCAATCAAAACCCCTCTTTCATAACTTTATTAATCAGAACTTACTATTTGGCAGGACATGAACCTGACCGTCGATAAACAGGAATCTGTTTTTAGCTGCAGCACTGGTAGAAAGGCAGGGAAGAATCTGATTGGTCAGCCCCAGTTCCTCCGCCTGCAACAATACACGACCACACTGGGGAGGGAGCACATCCGGAGCAGGGGTGCACCCCTCCCCGTACTTTTTGCAACACACAACACATATATACATACGGGTAAAGGGTGTGCGATATTACCAGTATATCGGTAAATTGAGGTTCATTCTTTCCACGATACATATCACAATATCATATATTCATGCTCGGTATATCAGGTGATTTCAAATTGGGATTTTTATCATGTGTTTAATGTTATATACTTGCCAAATGCCTTCGCTGCCCAGGACCGAGCATCCGGGGCCCCAAGATGGCTGCGTATTTATTGACTGAGTAAACATTATGTTTTACCAGCATCTTGTTTTGTTCCATTTATGAACTTCAATTCATACCTTAATGTATCAGATTGCTTCTGAATTAAAAATGTAGATTTAGACAATATATTGTGATATGTATCGCAATACGGCCTTGTGCATTGATACATTTTAAACCTCCAAAACCCATCCCTAATACGGCGAAATGTTCAGGTGATGGTCATACTAGGAGTAATTGTAAAACACTGCGACCAACCCACTTGTTATAATTTTGTAAAGAACGCCAATCAAGTTAGTGTCAATTAATACTTAAATACACCCCTTTAACCACTCAAAAGAATTTAAATTTTTTAATTATATTTTGATATTAAGTAATTTAATTTTAATTTTCAATACAGTACTCAAACAGCAGATGTTCAACACATCCTTTACCAGCAAGAGTGAGTTGATTCCTGAATCTCCGACTGGTCGTAGACTGCGGGGGCCATGCTCAAACACCGCTCCATTGTCATACCGTGTTGACCTCACCCAGCCGCCAAGGCGGTCGGACCCCTCCAGGAGAATTATCTACACATAAGGGTTCAATATCTGTACATGTTTCAGTTCAATAAAGTGAGGAAGTGAGAGACTTGGCTCGGGCCAGTTGTCTGTCCCAACACATTTGCTTAATGACTCCAAACTCACTTTGTCTGTAAACTGAAATGTTACAATGCTAAAATAAAATAAAAAACTAATCAAAATTATGTATATTTGCTCTGACGCTCTATGTTTGATGGATCAGAAGAATAAAAACATACAAACTTAAAGTAAGTACTGACTTTAAAAATTAATTCATCAAATGCAGAGTATATAGTCTCTGACTACTGTAAACCCCTCACAATGAGGACAAAGCCATCTTCTAAAGTAAATACATACACGTTAGGCCTTAAAGTCTGGCATTACTATAAAAATTTAAAAAAACATGCATTTCATACAGTACCAGCCTACATCCACTGAACTGACCAACCAAACTAACTCCATGCCAAGTAAAATATACAAATATTGAGCTACCTAAATATATTTAAATATTTTATTTTTATTATGACTAACCCAAGCTAAATTGTTAGCAAAAAATCTAAAAACCACTTAATTAAAGTCTGACTGAAATATTTACCTAAAACTCTCTTTGACTACTGGTTCCTGTCAATCCTGTGACTAACTTGCAACAACCACCATTATTTTGACTATCTATCCTCCTTGTTGTGAGAGTTCATGACGACCTGTGACAGACACTGTCCCTGTATTTGACACTGGGAAAGGGGAGTCACAAAATGGCCTGATACACTGGTGTTTCAAATACAGACTCCAATTCGATATAGATTTTAACAAGTTTAATGTTTCTCTCACAATAATCACGTAGAGGAGCTATATATTTTTACATTGGAACTTCATTTATCTCACAAAAACTTATAGACAAATTAGTGATCATAAACATTCGATCTGACAAGACTATCATGCCATGCAGACATCATGAGCGAGAGTTGTGTACTTGCTAACTTGATATTGAATAGGGTTGGGACCAGTCTAAATTTACTACCCGGGTACCCACCCCACTATTACCCGACCTACCCGGGTACCCACTGTTGGTCTCAAGAGATAGGTACAAATGTCTGATTGGGTATAGTTTGACCGTAGCCCTGGCAAAATGTATTTAGATACTCATAGCAAACGATCTGGTCATGCATACACTGAAGTTGACTGAAGTTTTAGCTCTATTCAAACATATAAAGTCAGAAGAAATGTGTGCATAGTCAGAAAGAAATGCGAACATTAGTCACTTATAGTGTAACCGTGGAAGTTCTAGATAATTTTTGCCATAAAACAATATATCAGGGGATTAACCACGGGTCCGGGTAGTCCTGTGTGTATCCGGGTCCTACTCTGGAACCCCCCGACCCGAGTACCGAGTTCCCCGTCACAGCCCTAATATTGAACTTCACTAACAGCTAGAATTGAATGATAAAACCAGATACCATTTATGCCATATCTGTATATTTTCTCTGGTGAAACGTCAAGTTTTCCACGTAATCATGGTGATTACTTAATACTTAATGAGTAAATGTTGACTATATGCGTGCATTTAGATCTATTAACATATGAACATTAATATTATTTAAAATTGTCTCTTGTCCTGTGTGAATGCTACACTGAAGTTCAGACAATAATGTAATTAGTAAGGTAGCAAATAAAATAGACTTTATGGTCTCTGGTAGAATATGCTCCCATTACTAGAACTATCAATGACTATCAATGACTAAATTCTATTAATAATACTACAGACTCAACAATTATAGTGCTTGTCACGTGAGTTGTCATATCTACAGTCGGTGCGATGTCGGGGATTACTCCATACCTTAGCAAACTTTGCGGCTGTCTGTCTTTGTAGATAGTACACCGCCGCTAGTCCGCTTACTCCCCCACCCAAAATCACAGCTGTCGACATTGTTCTAGCCGATCATCACAGAAAAAGACATCGTGCAAGCACCTGTTCTACATCTTCACACGGTGACATGTTGGGTCAAAGGTCAAAGGATATCTGAAGGTCAAGGTCATGAAAGGTAAATTGTGTAAAACATGCCAAAGGCAGAAAATAAACAAGTAAAAGATAATCAGGGGCTGAAGAATTAGTATGTTTCCGTTTGTTTTATTTCTGGTTACATAAATGAGTCTTGTCAAGTCATTTCAAAGACAGTATGAGCGGACCGCATCAATCAAAGGGACTTAACTCTGTTCCTACATGGGACGTTTCATTAACTTACATTGAACCTTGCAGTGGGTCTTGAATTCTGAGGTTTTATATTTCAATTTGTGTGTTATGATTTAAATGTTTTAATAGAAACATACTGTAGAAGTATCATAAATAAAATTATTTTAAGCAACGCCTCAAGACGATTTGGTTGTAAAGACCCGTGTCAACAATTACCTGTATTTCAAAGATAGCATCGGGTCAATTGGATTAAAATTATTTAAAGTCCACTTTGTTTACGAACTCACATTTGATAATGTCCATCAATCGCCTTATGCTTACCCGAATAAAGTATAGTAAACGTGACAGTTTGACACATGGCACTAAATTATAATTTAAAGTATATCGGTTTAGGTTGGAATGGAGAAGATCACTTATTAAAACATTGTTCCAATTGCGCGGATCGATGCTCATGATGTCATTCACCTGTTTGTCTAGCCCAGACTCGATTATTTACAGACCACCGCAATATAGCTGGAACATTGCTGAGTGCGGCTTGAACAACAAACAAACATATTAAAGGGCCACACGTACATGATACAATTCTTCAATACGACCACAGCCCCGATTGCAATACGTTATCTACTCGTGCCCAGGGGGGATCTGGCAGTTTCTGGTCTTAATTAACGGTTCTATAGAGAGGAGTACAAGTATAAATTGTAATATCACAACGCACTAATCATGCTAATGCCAGGGGGAAATAGTCTACCTACAAAAATCAATACCGGGACATCTGTCGCCCGACCGCCGTATAACTATTTACCGTGAACACAATGACTTCAAAACGTGCAGTTTATGTGGACAAAGCGACAGCTCATATCAACACGAGTGATCTGTTATATGAAGTTTTCACAGAATTCGCCATTGGCCGATAACTGTAAGTATGATATTGCTAATGACCTCTACACGAAGCTTGTGCGCGACACGTTCTTCCTGTGTTGTAAAGCGGCATTCATATGTTGGCTAGCAGCGTATTAACGAATTTAATTACAACAATTTAATGCGACTGATTGATCCATCCGTCTACGTGTTTTAATATATGTTCAGTTCACACCAAGACACCCGTTTTATGTGTATTATGTTGGGATTGAAACAGCCATGATCAGTCCTTGGCCAATCATGACCTTATGGTAACAATCTGTCCACGCAGGTTCCAGCTCGTATCCCACGCTTCTCGCCGACAGTGATTTTGTTTGTTTGTTGTTTAACGCCGCACTCCAGCAATATTCCAGCTATATGACGGCGGTCTGTAAATAGTAGAGTCTGGACCAGACAATCCGGTGATTGACATCATGAGCACCGATGTACGTAATTGGGATACGATGACATGCATCAACCAAGTCACCGAGCCTGACCACCCGATCCCATCAACCAAGTCAGCGAACCTAACCACCCAATCCCATTAGTCGCCTCTTACGAAAAGCATAGTCGCCTGTTATGGCAAGCATGGGTTGCTGCAGACCTATTTTCTACCCGGACCGACAGTGCGGGCGTTAAACCTCACTCACCCACTCACTATACATAACATGCATCTCCTATAGAGATTATAACATGCGTGGGTGCATCCTACTGATCTAAATAAGTTGTCAGAATTGTCGCTCTCCCTCGGGAAATACAGAATCCCTCAAAGTCGTAGCATCCTATTTTATGTAATAATCTTTGAATGCATATGACTCATTATCATTAATCGTAATTAAGGTTATGTTTCTGATTGTCGTTGAACTTTGGTAGCCAGTCTGTGTGGACAATGCTATTATGACGTCAGAAATGTTGGATGTGCTGGTGTTTGCTCGTGACCTCACAATAGATTCTGTTCGCACTTTGAAAGTCCTTGATGTCCATACTGACAGTAGATGTGATTGCTGCACCAATAAATTTCACTGAAACTGAATGCTTGTTCCTCGTTTACTAGTTACTATGAATTCGCTCCAATTAACAGCAGTTGATTGAACGGATGTTACGAACAGAGCATTCATAACATTATAAGGCAGTCGCCCTTCGGCACTGCATGGGGAGTACTTAGAGAATAACATACAACAGGCTACGTAGATTTATAGATTGTCTGTCCGATTTAAACATTTCGTCAGATTTGTGGATGGGTTATTCTAGATAATACCCATATTCAATCTTGTAAGAAATGTTGGTTCTCATCAAAATTGGAAACAACTAGTTCAGTCAATCTATTGTTTCAACGACGAAAGATCGTCTGGGATGTCTTGAACAATGAGTGACATCATCTTAAAACACGTTGATGTGACGTCATGTTGGCTGCTTCTAAAACAAGGGGGAAAATGGAACAATTTGCTTGAATACAACAATCAGCATGAAGTACAATTTATAATACTTAACGATACAGTACACCTCTTGGTCGTCCTTCACAATGACTGGCGACTATATATATTTTGTGAAAACAAAAAGGTTAGTCTCGCCAGCTCTATTCAGCATCAGGAAAAACATTCCAAGAAAAGAAATGTATTGTGTAATATAAATTTCCATCGACTACATGTTAGTGTACCCTCTTGGTAATATAAGACCGCCTCCGTGGTATAGTGGTAGAGCGTCCGCCCGGAGAGCGGAAGGTCCGGCGTTCGATCCCCGGCCGCGTCATACCAAAAGACGTTAAAAGATGGTACTTGTCGTTACCCTGTCTGGCGCTCGGCATTAAGGGGCTAAAACAAGGACTGGTCGGCTCGGAGTCAGTATACCGTGTCTGAGTGGGGTATTCATGTTAAACTGCGGCATGGTATCTCAGTGAGCTAGCACTATAAATCGGCATCAGTCCGGACTAGTACAAGCAGCCACACAAACACAGACACGTACATGCATGTAGCTATATAAGTGCAATAACCTTGGTCGCGACGTTAAACCCCATTTCACCCCACCCGCACCCTTTATTGACACACGTAACTTAAATCTCTGATGTCTTTCGTCATGCATGTGTCATCACTTCGTGTTTAGCAACATATATCCATCAAATTACGGAAACAATTTGACACATTCAACATAGGGTGACGATAGGAACAATGCTACCAATCAATTGCTGGAAGACCGGACACGCCAGTGAGTGTGCCTCACCTAATTATGAATAATAATGCCTTTGACCCCTGTACACTATGTAATATTACGTTTTTACTATTTATCACTGAAAACTGGGAGTTGCTTTGCGGTGTATCAGCGACTCGTATACACTTGAAACCCGCTAGTCCGGAAACCTCCCTTCCGGTTGATTCGGGGTTGGTATGTATGCATAATAAATGGGACATTACCATGTCTACACAAACTGTAAATGTGTACTCGGACGATTTCAATTGGAATGGTACCGTCTGGATAAACGGGTTTGCACAGTTTAAACACCTTCGATTATCCAGTGTACTTAATATCCATTCTATTATAAGGAGATGTAACACACTGGATAATCGAGGAGGAACCACGTGGAATGTGTCACGTACGCTGACGTAATCTACATAGTATGTTACATAATAAGGATTGTTCTCCTGTTTCCTACACAATGGTCTTTATTTGTTTATCTGCAAATCTTGCACTCCCCTCAGATTCCAGCCTTTCTATAAATGTATCTACACAGTACACTTTGTGGGCGAGGGTATGTAAAGGCACATATTACCTATTCATTATATGTTTACCCTTTTGTGGACAGAACAGGCTTCCCCACCCCAGTGTAACCACATCTTAAATCTACTCTATTGTAAAACCACTTCCTCCTAGGCTCCTACCTGTATAAATACTTATCAGCCATACTACGTACATCACTAGCTTGGAAATGGTGTTAGAACTTACACCTCCTTATCCTTTTAAAAGAATGTAGATAAGTCCCTTGCCAAGGACCTGGAAATAAATTAATTAATTAAATCTGGAAATATAATTTAGATAATAGCTCGTAGATTATATAATGACATGTATCTGTATTTCCGATAAAAAAATAAGCTGACCCAAGAAATGCTGATTAAAAAATAATTATTTAGTTTTGCATAAGACAGAACCCTGTAAGATGGATTGTTTTTTTCTTCGTTGTAATGCATCCATGTGCCAATATATCACAAGACACACTGACATAACAAAAAGATGTAATTTCATGGTTAGATGACAATATTTTGTCACTGCAATTTAGGCGTGTATGGATAATATACGCAATCATTCATAATTACTAATCAACGTAAGATTCAAATGTTTTCAGATGCGTCGGTGTGACTTGTCGCGTATTCATAATGTTCAACAAACGAACATATGTGCTGACTGACACTCATCATCAGCTGATGCGATACGAACGCTCTCACGTTACTAATGACTCAGTGCCTCGAGAACTACATATTACAGTCCAGTAATACGATATGTCACTTATGTCAATATAATGTTTGAAATTAACATTTCATTGGCTCGTGTTCCTGATACAGGTCATATTTGGTACATTATGTACCCAAAACGAGAGATTTCTGACCCTTTAAAGCACAATCTACAGAAGTGGATCCACGACTAGCAGACGCCCAAACGCTCACGTGGTTTTGTTTACCGGCTGTCAATGAAATCTCGCGCTGTCTCGCGGTACCACGCGACGAATGCTTGAGTGCTGAAACTCTGGTGTATCTTGCACAAGATTCATTGAGAATTCCCCGGTGATAAAGAATCTTGTGAACTCAAACTTTACAGGTAGGTGTATGAAATGTATGATTCTTATATTAGCGTCACAATTGCCTGATTATGCACTAGATTGTGTGATGATTTGATGCATCGTCATCAACATTTTCAAGGTAAACAAAAGCTCTTTTATATTTTCCTCGCTTTTGAAAACCGATCAGTGATGAAACAGTTTCATTTTTTATTGCAGGATTTAAGTCGATACAATACTTAATTAACACAAAACATGTCAGAAAGACAATGAAGCTGACAAATGTATATAACACCACTGTTTGGATGCGATAGCCCTTGGCAATATTTTGATATTGATATTAGCTGTGCCTGAGGGAGTGTGCTATTATTACTATTAGGTCAAGGGGAGGGGTGTTATAAGGGGGCGGGGGGTCTCCATTACCCCCATCCGGTCTCAAAGTAAGGGAGAATTAAATATTAACCGAATTGTGAGTAAGGTAAGTCACTCCGCCACTGTGTTAAAGTGCTACCTCACCCACACGGCAACAAAGAGTCATATCATGATCTCATTCATAATGATTTGAGATGGGATTCTCAAACTACAGGGCTAGACATGGCCACTAGGTCATTAGTCCAAAACTAGTGAAGAACTAGAGTGACTACTCGTGTTTGACTAAATCTAATTATTCCTCACAAACCACGAAGGCTGTAATGTTCTGTGTAGGGCTGGGACGAGACCAGATTTACTACCCGGGTACCCACCCCTCTAATTACCCGACCCTACCTGGGTACCTGCTGTAGGTCTCAAGAGATGTGTCCGACTGGGACTAGTTTGACTGTAGCCCTGGCAAAATGTATTTAGATACACGTCATGCATAAAACAAAGTTGACTTCAGTTTTATCTTTATTCATACCGTATATCGCTGTGTATAAGGCGAGTTTTTCGTACCTAAAATGAGGGGGTTAAGAAAGGGGGTCGTCTTATACACGGAGTCGAAGATCTCACTTTTTTTTCCACTGGCGATGTCAACCGGAGTCCGATAGCCAGCCCAGCATTTGACAATAAAACTTCGCATTTCGTCCTAAATAACTGTTCCAATAACTATTTCCATACATAAACATGATTTGTAGCTCTTTTCCTTGAATAAAGTTTAATAATTTCTGCAAATAAAGTTGAAATGACCCTCGCCTCGATGCAGATTGTCAAACCAGCTGACATGGTAAAACAATCAACATCCATGAGTAGAGAGCCGGAAGTACTGGTAAGCATTTGCATATTGCACACGTGACCTAACATGTGATAACCGGTGAAGCTGAAATCAATTCCCGCTGTTTTTACAGTTGTATTAACAACTGTTGGAGACAGTGTGAATAAGTGATTGTGGAATAAACACGCTGAATGTGAAGCAAATATAAGCCTAGATAGTTACAACATAGTTAATTGGCGATTAAATTACTCACCATTGTCTCTTATATGTTATTACTTCATAAATGAATTTTATTTTATGGGCACCAATTTGGTGTCGTACCGTGTAAACACAAAATGGCAACATGTGCTGGAGTTACACACGCGACCAATCATCGTAGAAAAAACAACGCAAGATAAACATATTTTTATTGCATATATAAGGTTTGTGTGCGTACTTGTGATGTGCTTCATTCCAGGTCGCCTTATACACGGAGTATAAGATTTTGGGTTGATTTTGAAGGCATGTACAGGGGGGTCGTCTTATACGTGGGGTCGCCTTATACACAGCGATATACGGTACATGTAAAGTCAGAAGGAATGGGTGCATAGTCAAAAAGAAAATGCAAACATTAGTAACTTATAGTGTAACAGTAGAGTTTTAGATAATTTTTTGTCATTAAACCATATATGACGTGACTAACCACGGGTCCGGGGAGTGCAATGGGCCCCCCGGGTCCTACTCAGTACCCACCCGACCCAAGTACCCGCGTTACCCGTCCCAGCCCTACTTCTGTGGGTATCACCAGTAAGTGGCGTGAAAGCGTGAATGTAGACATGGTAGACTAACGCTTAGTCTCTCAAAATCTATGATTTTGCTAGAAACAAATAACTTTATCTAGACACTCCAATTTGAAAGTCTTGAAATATGGATGGGTATTTTCTTCGTGGGTTCAACATTTGCTTATAATGGACTATAATTTATACTGGGTTGACTTTATGTTCGGCACTATTCTCGCTGCTCTGCGTAAAGTGACACCTATCAGAGGATCAAAGAATGAGACGCTGTATATCATCACAAAAGATATACAAAAAATGAGCCAAACTGACATGTGTTTTGTTGTTGATTAATGCATGTACGACTTGAAAGGATGAAGCTATCGGTCAACATCGTACAATAATTAAATTTTCGTTGTGTTCATTGAAATTCCTGTATTCTGATTAGCTGAATTGGTCACGTGTTATTGCATTCATTTCCCAATGAATGTAAAAAATTAAGCCACGCCCACCGAGGCGCACTACTTTTATTACTTCGGAATGTCGGGGAATCCCAATATTAATGCCGAGGGAATTCCCTTTCTGCTCACGTGTATCGTCATGCACAGGACATTTAGCGACTTTCATGCATATGCATTGTCCAAACTACCCTTTGAAACCGATGGCCCAGAATGAATGAAACAGCAAACGTGCAGGCTCGCTCGCCTGTTTTTTTTCTGCTCGCCTCGGTTCAACTTTCATGTCTTCGGGTTTCCTTTCTAACTAGCATTTTTCCAACTGAGTTTTACCGTAATCAGGGAAGTAATGTTTGAATCTGGCGGTAACTGACCATGTAATTTGAAACAGCCGCCTTCTCCCGGACATATTTCTTCCAGTTCGTTACAGTCTGACTGTTGCAGTTCTTTTCGCCTCTTGTCTTAACTGACAGGTCCAATGAACATTGTTTTGATCCTGCTCTCCGTTGATTGGCTACTGACAGTGTAGGCGTGTCAATTTATGTGCATAAATTAAACAATCACCTGATTCATGTCACGCACAGTATGTATTCCTACACCTGGAATGTTTATCAATCTCGTCATTTTTGTCTGTTTTGATATATACAACTGTTTTTGGTTAAACTATTGTAGATAAAACATGTTTTATGCTGTCGAATTTAATTATAAGCATTGACTGTGTATTCTTTTCGGTTCATTGAGGTATGAATCGAAAAACCAATGTGCAAACTTTTGTAAGAATCCGCTACGCGGATTCATACAGTTTGCACATTGGTTTTTCGATTCATACTTCAATGAACCGAAAAAAATACACAGTCAATCCTTAATTAAAAAATCACTTAGTACGTGTAGTATCCCTTCAGAGAATTCAGGTAAATGAACAGGTAATAACAAACTTGATCAATAAAAATGTGAAATTCAGATAAGTTATCACTAAACATGATACTTTACCATTGAAGTTATATTTTCTGTTCTGCTAGGCATTGTTTTATATGTAGAAAAAACAATTACCATGTGTATTTTCTTGTAAACTAAGCTGGAAATAGCAATCAGCTGTGTACACATTTTCTACCAATGTACTGTTGATTTGATTAAAAAATACATTTAATATAACTTCAAAGAATTGGAGGCAATGATCAGATGAATAGTATCTGAAACTATTATTTTATCAGATATAAAATATTCCAACATCGAGTTATGTTGATTGTTATTTCAGCTTTTACAATATATATTTAAAATAATAATAACCATAAGTTTTGCACTTTGGAACAACTGACTGCTGTTGCAATATATGTTTTATGTATGGAACAATTTGATCAGTCACTGTTGTAGCATCTGCGTTCTTGCTATGAACACAAAATGAAAATATTGGAGTTACAACCGACAAAAGTTACATGTGTAATATCAGGCAGTTAGCTTCTTCGAGGAATGTATCCGCAGATATCCATATGAAGGAACATTATCCCATCCATCTGAAGTTGTACAAAGAACCATGTCCGCTGTCACACGTCTCTGTAACAATCTAATATTTAAAAATATATATAGTGTTTTGGGATATTATGACCCATGTTCATTTCTCAACTGACCACATAAGTTTGTTTAGGTGTTTCACGTAGTTGTCAACTTCAAGTCTCATTGGTCAGCTGAGACAGCACACGTGACAACACATGACAAGATTCATGACAATATTCATGACAATATTCATGATGTCTGTGGTTCTTCAAAAAATCCATAGAGTTAGATAACAATGAGCAATCAATCAATGTATTATTGGCTAATCCTTTGAACAAAGTATTCACTCTTCAGGTGAAGGGATAAAAGCGGCGTAAAACCCAACTCACTCACTCACTCAGGTGAAGGGGTAAGCATATACAGTGGTCCCTCGCTACAACACTACCAATGGGGTCCAAATAATTGGTGGGCGTTATAGACGATGAGCCGTTTAACCGAGGCCGAGGCGGGGGTACTCTGAAATGTTGTGTTTCACAGCGTTAGAATTAGAAAATCCTGTAGTCCTTACCAATCTGCCCAATAATAAAGGTATCCTAAGGACTAGTAGAAAATGGCCCTTTTTAAGGGTTTTGCTATATGTTATCATTATAAGGACTAGTGGGCAAAAACTGTTAGTTTCTAACCCTGTTTCATCATATTAAAGAAGATGACATCCTTAAATTCTCTACCTTATGTCTATCACTTCTAAATCCCATTCAAAGACTTCATTTTTTCAGGCTAATAATTCTGCCCATCAAGATTGTTGTTCATCTCCATTACATGATGTACACCACGTACATGTTGTAGAAAACACTTCCTGGAACATGAACTAGAAAGGATTCAGTCAACCAGAACACTGCAGTCATTCAGAGCAGTTCAGTTTGTTTAGAACGATTATTCATGTAACCATCATAGGTTTGGGCTACACTGTAACCTTGAAACGTTGTTTTTCGTCATAATAAAGATGTTGACATCCATAAATTCTCTAAAAACAATGCTTGAAGAAGCGACCAAATGGATCAATGGTCAGACTCCAGGCGTTGGCTGGTTGCATGTCATTGTCCATCGATGGCGTAGATCATTGCTCACAATATTGATTCAGCATTGGAAAC